TTTTTTTTTTTTAATGCGTTATTTTATCTCATATAAATATATAATATAAAACAAAATTAAAATCACATAAAAAAAATTTAAACTTTTTAAATAATAAAGTTGATGAAAACATGATTATACACATTAGGTATATTATTATTATTATTATAATTATTTTAAAACTGATAAATACTACTTATATGACATGATTGCATTATATTAACTTTTGTTATTTAATTATTTATGTGCTTGCCGAACTCACTGATGTTACAGTATCATCTCATCACAGCTTTTTTTTTCTTGACTGAAGCATATGAATTTTTTGGAAAAATAAAGAAAAATATCAGCGCATGAAACTCGCTTTTAACATTTATTTTTTGATATTATGACTTTAATTATAATTAAATGTCTATTTAAACATATGATGTAAAAGTATGAATTTTTTTTCTCACAATTGTGATCTTCATGAATCGTGTATGTATGTAACAAATTAATAAAATGTATTCCAAATAATTAGTGATTATAACGGTACATACTTATGCGTGTACCAAATAGTTTATAAATATTCTATCAAATGTTTTATAATAATACTAAATTATTCATATTTTATCAAATTATGTACATTTACAGAGTTATTTCCATGTTATGTGTATCACATGCTATATTTCTGTATCAATTCGCTAATGTCTTTATCAAATTTATATTTATGATATGTGTAACGAATTGCTTAAGCTTATACAAATTAAGTTATATTTTTATTAAAAAGTTCATAATCATTCCAAATTATTTACGTTTAAGTCAAATCGTTGGTTATATTTATACTACATTAGTCATATTATGTATATCATATTGTTTGTATCTATACCAATTTATTTACGTGTTTACCAAATTGTTTATAGTAACACCAAATAACATATGTTTACGTGGAGTTATTTATGTTTATAAACAAATTTTAATGATATTGATTTCGAATTCTCCACGTTTGAACAAATTCATATATGTTCTTATTAAATGGATTTTAGTTATACCCTGTTATATATGTTTATATCACATTATTGTTTTTGTGTACATCAAATTTGTTAGAACATGTATATTATATTGTTCATGCCTATACCAATGCCTTTATATTTGTATCAAATGGTTTTTAATCACACCAATTTATTTATATTTGTACCCAATAATTTATATTTATATACCAACTACATTAAATCGATATCAAGATTTACAAATGTTAATAAAATTAGGAAGTTATTTATTGATTGGTTTATGTATATGTTACTTCGTTTTATATGAAAATAAAAAACAATAATATAATAAAGTCAAGTTTTAATCTGTTAGACTTGTAAACAAATATTGACTATTGTGCACCCATATAGCACCTTCTTATAATAATGTTGACGAAAACTTTAAATCATTTCATCGATTATGTAATTCGAGTAAAACTCATACCTGATACGACGATCAAATAGTTCCTCGAATCATTTTTATACCACTTTTAATACCCTAATGGAATTAAGAGCGTAAAGTGCGTATATAATTAACAAAAAAGTAGATAATAAGATGCTTACAAAATAATAATCATATGGGAAGAGTACTCGAGCATAAACACGAACACACATGAAATTAAAACATTTTGAAGAAAATACCAGAAAAATAGATTTTGTTTTAGTATGAGTTACACAGAAGTAAAACAATGAGGTTTGAACGAGCTGAGTTGTGAAAAAGCGTGAGCAATTAATTCAATAACTAGGAATGCTCTGTGACATATGGGATTGGTGTCCCGGTTGAATAGAGAAAACAAAAAATAATGCTTAACCTAAAACAAAACCAAAAGAACAAATTGTAGAGATTGGTTTCCCAATGTGAAGTAGTAGTATTGGTAGTTTATATATCTAGTAAAATTTGATGCAAGATAACGATATGGGAAGATATTTGAAAATATTAAGATAAAAATCCTTATATTTTACTTGTAAAATAACTATGGTGATTACGATTGTTCTGCATAATATGAGAAAGAACAGTAATGAATTTAGTGAACGCAAATTAATATTTTAATATTACGAGAAAAAACTTGAAGTTTAACAAGCTGTAGAAAACAAATCTTTTGATAACCGATTTTCTTTACACCCACATATAAATTAATAAAAAATTGAGATTTTATCAATCTACCGGACATCTGAGAAAAATTTAACAACATGAAAATTTTCAAATTGAAGTTTTACCTAAAAACATCCAACCAAAATCGGTAAGTGACCATTCAAAAATAATATAGTTAATAGGCCGATAGAATTTTAGAAATCGATATAAATTATATAAATATAAGCCTGGAACAAAAAAAATCCATAACGAATAATGAAAAAACAATAGTGTATGACTTAATATTAGAACGTTTAGGATTAAAACCATGTGACTGAATTAAAATGTGGTTACAAAGATTATAAAATCAAGGTTTCAATATTTATGTCTTATGAGTAATAGGTTTATTATATTTTTCAAATTATTCAACAATTGAATGCGTATAACCTAATTAAATAATTTGGTTGTTGAACTTAATTAAAAAAATTAAGAACAACATAATTTTAAGATTTTTTTTTTTAATAGTAACTATAGAAATAAAGAAAAAATATCCTGTAGGTTAAATATAAATTCAAAATAAATGTGTTCTATATTGACCTTTTAACCCCCTTGAAAATTAACATAATTTGACTACAACTCCAAGAGTAATAGGAATTGTGGCAATAGAAATAGATTAAATGGAAATGAAGAGCTAAGAAAACACTTATGATGGATCAAGATAATTTCTAAGTAGTTTCCTACTGAGGCTCACTATAAAAGGAATAGATTTAGTTGTGAGTAGAAAATAATCTAAAATGAACAATATCAGAGAAAAGGGTTGTAATTAATTTTCTAGTATAAGTAGTATAAGAGCAGAATTAGTTTTTAGGGAGATAATTATAAAGATAATTTTTTATCGCAAGAGTTCTATGATAAGTGATATCAATACTGCATGAGTGCAATAATGAAAAAAAAAAATTAATAACAAAATCCAATGACTGATTATTTTAATATGTAACAATTCGTTTTAAAAAAGAGGAGACATAAAACATCATTATCGAATGTATTCGTTTATGACTTAACGTGGGTGATAGGGAGAAGACAATTTAGAAAAAAGAAAAACGTTTAGATTTCTTTTCAAAAAGACAGCGAATCATAGTAGTTAGTAGTATCTACATTGCGGCCAAGTCTAGTTTATGCATCATTCAGAAACTGGCCAAGTGTTAAACATCTACATTATTTTAGATTTAGAAGAGTTAATTATACACATAAATGATAATATATAATATAGTAATAACCAGTGTTTACATTTCTAAAGATGTTTGTGTCTAATAATAATTAACGATCTCTCCTGTTAAAATAAATTATCTCTATGTTACACAAACAATATTTTTCTCAATGCATTCCTTCTTTTATTTATTACTATTATGCAGTCGCGATATTATTGACTGTGTATGGGTATACCAGATGATGGATTTTTTATTCGAAACTAGTCATACATTATCATTATCATTTATTTTATTTTTATTATTTTATTATGTAATATATTTAAATTTACGTATAAGTTAGTGTGTTTTATCATTCAGTTGATAACCAATTTATCATTCATAATCATGAATATTAAGTTCAGTGGCCGTTTCTGAACGTGCCTTTCTGTACTGCAGGTAATATGGTACCAAATTCGAGCATATATTTCGATGGATAAGCGTCATAAAGTATCTAAGTACGAATAATATTCTACAATTCTGTCGAGCGGATTTCCCTGGAATACTTCATTAATTCGATTTATGTGTTTACATCTAAAGATGTGCTCGAATTCAACGGAAAGATCGAATCATTTTGTAATTCTCCTAATATTATCGTATTGCAATTGAAATATTCAACATTTCAACGGAACGTGTGATTGATTTTTAAGTTTTCTTTAAAATATTATATTTTTCTCTCAGTACTTTCAAACTCCGCAAATGGTAAATTAAATTTTATACGTTTTAAGACAGTCCATATGTTTAACGTGATAGGACATTCGACTTATTCAAAGTTTCGATACACCGATTATAAATTAACATGTACAATATATACCAGGGTTGGACAAATTTTTGTTTTATAAGCTTCAACGTATTATACGTTTTATATGGTATAAAACGACAAAACAATAAAACCTTATGTTTTTTAAAATATTATTAGTTAATAGTTATATGTCTTATATAGTAATTAAAATAATAATTATTGTAATTTTTTGCACTGATTGTTGATGTTTTCTATAAATTTTATTTAAATAAACACAAGCACAAAACTGAATAACTTAAGAAAATATGTTTATTGTTAATTGTTAAACATATTCTTTCATAATATGTTTGTTAGTAATTTTGGCTTATAAATTTTAAGAATCTTAAAAATAGTAGTATTATTTTTATTGGAATTAATTGATGAGATTTTTTAGTAAGAAACACAAACGAATGGTTTAAACGGAACCTGTCGTAGTGGCTACTGATAACCGAGATCCAACCTTTAAAAAGTAATAACTTAAGTGATTTTTATCAATATTAATAACTTAGTAATAAATAAAAACCATCACTTATATTAATAGACTGAAATATGCATACGTAAATTATGAAAATGGAAAACAAAAATATTAAAAGTAAATTAATATATTATTAAAAATATTAATACTATAAACATTTAGAAAAATCTAATTGTTCACTACCAAAATGTTAATTTAAAAATATTTTAAAAGTTATAGATAAAAAAATTAAAACCTTTTTTTACCATTTAAAATACAGAAATAATCAATTTTACTATACACATGATTTATATTCATTATGAATATAACACAATAAAATTCACAAATATGGTTTTTATGACGATACAAAAAAAAATTTGTTGTACCCATTTAAATTATTTGATTATTTGATAAATTTGATAAATTATTATTATTTGATAGTTCACCAAATTAATTTATATTTTACCTTTATTATATGGTCTAAATTGGTGGATATCCGTGGTGGCTTGGGGAGATGAAGCCCACTTCATAACCACTTTCAAAAATGCCTGCAAAATTTTAATAAACATTTTTTATATATATAAATATATCTGATCAATGAGTTCCGTTATCAATGAAATTACTTTTATGTGACATGAGAATTATATATAGTTGCAATAACTTACCCTAAATTACTAAATAAATAAACACAAGAATGAGTAATATCAAATTTCTCATGAAATATAAAATTATAATTCAAGAATAGAAAATATGAAAATTTAAGAAACTTAGGTTATAAAAAATAAAAATAAATAATTACAATATCAATTAGGCCACAGTTAACTAATTCTTTTAAATATATTTTACATGCTATACTTAAAATAATAAAAACAATTTTTTTTTTTATAGGTTAAACTAAGTGTTTACATTTTACACTTAATATAATATATACTAGGGTTTATTATTCAATAATAGAAAAAATAAATAAAAGCAATAATAATTTATAAGTTATATTTTACTAGATATGCAACGAACAGTTTATTCATTTTCGAAGTTTTTTACAACCAAAATAGATACAATTAAAAAATAAATAAATAAAACATAAATACATTATTTATATTTATAAGCTCTTTTAGTTATTATATATAATTACTTTGTAACTAAATGGACATTTAGTTTTCTCTTAGAAACCTATCCTCCTTTATTTTTGTTTTTCATGGTCTAGATAAATATTCTAGCAATATGTTTCTATTGATTTAGTTTCTCATTTATGTATATGTATTTGTTCATTAATCTTATTTTATACATTTGTACGTTAATCTTATTTTCCACAATTGATTCAAGTGGATCGATTAAAGTTAAAATGGATTACAATGTAAGTATTGATTATAATATAATATTATACTGGTTACAATATTAGATACTGATTATATTTGAATAAGGAATGTAATTATTTTGTCATACAAATTTTAAGTTTATTTTTGAAGTATTAAAATATTTGTTGTATGTAGTAAAACTTGTTGAAAGTACAATATATGTATTTTTAAATCGGGAAATTTATGTAATACCCATTATTATATTAATATAGAATATTTGAAATTTTTCCATTATTAACAAACATTTTTGTAAGCTTTTGACTATATGAAATAAATTTATTCAAAAGGTAATTTTTTCAGTCTATAATATCTTTTTCATTATTACTAGATAAATTATAATGTCTTTAATATATTATAATGTTTAGAGCATATCACTTTCATTAAATTTAACAAATTTCCAATATTATATGAATATAGCTGTTGGTTGTAAAAAGGACTTGAGTATTTTTATTTTTTAGTCGTATTGTAACTTATATCTATTATTAGATCTTATTAAATTATTTATATTTTTATTTTATAATAATTTAAATACAATTTATTATTTAGAGTATTGATGAAGATGAAATTGAAAACTTACGTCTGGCTGCTCTGATGTCTATTAAGAGAAAATCCAATGCACAAAGTAGTACATTAAGAAGTATATCAGGAGAAATTTGTCATAGAAAATTCGCCACTAGTTCATCGGGTCCTGCTACTTTCTTTGGTTTGGCACTCTTTAATATATTTGTTACTTCTTCTTTCATTATATCGAATCCTTCATCTATTTTTATGCTACTTTGTTATATGAATATTATAATTTGAATAAAAGTTAAAACTATATATAATATAATCAATTATACATGCTGTCTTATAAATGTTATTCTATATTTAATGAATATTCATATATTTTATTGCATATTTATGAATAATATAATACTTATCTGTGTTCAGATGATGGTGATGCTTTATCCCTAGGGAAAAACGATGAAGATGTGGACGAACTTAACAAATTAATAGATATTATGGAAGCTGAAGTTAATGACGAAGATGTTGAAACATCAAAAAAAGTTAATAAAAGTATAAAACAAAACAATAAAAATACGAATGAAAAAAGTACGGAGCCGAAAATAGAAAATAAACTAATTGTGAAAGTTGATGATTCAAATGTTATAAATCCACCAAAGGTTGTTAAAAATTTAACACCTATAATTAATCCACACGAAAAAGAATTAGAATCAATTAAAACTTTAGAGGAAATAAGAAACCCTCCAGCACAATGCATTCTATTAAATTCTCGTGTTCCCTTAAAATCACCATCACTACGTAATAGAAAGAAATCAATATCTCCATACAGTAAACATCGAAAAAGATCACCATCAAGATCGCCCAGAAAATTATCACCTTTAAGGGAAAAAAATCTTTCTCTGAGGAGGTACTCTCCTCTAAAGTCACGATATCCCTATCGTTCATTATCTCTAAGGAAAAATCACAGATCTTTATCACGAGATATTTCGCCAAAAATAAGACGACTGTCTCCATTAAGGAGAAAAAATTAGGTTTCCTCTTAAGATTAAATCTAAATCGAGATCACCTAAAATTAAAACTACTGATAGAAGAAGATCACCTATTCCATTAAAGAAAGTAATTATATCAAGACCTGTGTCTCCTAATGTTTGCCGTAAAGATAATAATATCATAGATGATGAATACTCGAAGAAAAAAGGAAAAAATCAAACATGTGGATAAGCCAATAGAATCTAGATCAATAGATCCTGTTTTAAAAGCAAGAAAAATAAAATTTGAGTCCAACAAGTTGATTGAGCCCTCACGCAAAAAAAATTGTTTTAAGAAAAACGAATTCAGTTCAAATAGCAATTCAGACTGAAAATAAAGAAATGCAAAATAAAAAGAATGAACCTGAAATAAAACCGACAATTATGCAATTAACAAAAAAATTAAATTAAATCTCACAATCCTTTCCAACTTCTAAAAACATAAGAAATGAGATGAAAAAGGATTTGGAAGTAATAAAATTACAAAGAACTATTAAATTAAATAATTCTCCAGAGAAAATAAAAAATAACCAAAGACCAAGAATTGTGTTTGGACATAACGATACTAATGATTTGTTCATTGATCAAGGTTTGTATAAATATTTTTGTAAATATTAATTATATATAATACCTACCTATTTATATTATTATTTTTGGTAATATTGTATTAATTTTTTATTTTTAGAGGATAGATTTCATTATTACAAAGAAAAAAAAACAACAGTAAATCTGAAACTTCAGATGTACATAGTACATCTAAAGAAGAATTTGAATTATCAGTATAAAAGATGTCTAAAGAGAATGAAGAAAACAGAACTGAAAAAGATTTGTGATCTGATTTTTAATTTATTTAAATTTTAATTTAATATCTTAATTATTTTTTGATTGAAATATTCGATAAATAAAAACTATAATTACAACTATTGGATAATTAATAATTTTGAATAAATAAAGATTGATTTTACTGTCTAGTATATTTTAATATTTTTAATTTTATTATTATCGTATTAAACATACTGTGCCTAGTTATAAAATAAGCTTATCCAAATTTTATACTATATTCTCTGCTCTTTTTTCATAAATTCTAAAATATGGAAATAATTTGTTAACAAATCACTTGTTATAAAACAATGTTATATTTTCTAAATATGTATTTTTTAAGTGAATTCCTAAATTACAATTATTAATTTTATAGTTAATAATGCAAAATAAACATTTCAACTATTAATTCAATCTTTAATGTAAACATATTTTAATGAATGTACTTGTATATTTTTTTATTAGGACCGCCTTGACTTTGAATCTTGTTTTTGTTCAATTACTTGCAAGTGCCTAATGAATATGTTAATAGTTTATATTTAAAATTACTGGTTTAATTATATCTGATATAGAAAGTTCATATAATGACATTCAGTGTCGTCTAATTAAAACTAAATTTTAGGAAGTAGGCAAAAATAAATTCTTACTACCCACCACCTATTTTACCATAAAAAAAAAAAATACAGTGTGTTCAACGATAAATTTAACACGAAATATTTCTAACGCATCACATTTATTTAATCTTGTTTTTTTTTTTTTTTTTTAATCTGTAAAAGGACTTGAATTTTTACTTATTTTCGAAAAATTCAAATTTTTAACCTTTTTTTTCCGTCCATACGCAGTAATCAGTGATGAATGCTGACTCTGATGTGTGCTCATGCTCATTTATCATAATGTTTTATAGTTATATTTAATTTATAATTAGTAAATAATTCACAGATTTGTATTAAATTATTAATAAGACTTTAATTTAATATATATATATATATACAATAGCACTTACTTAAATAATACTTAACTAACTAAACTATATTAAAAAATAGCACAATAAAATAAAACGATGAAAAATTGTCATATAATCGTACACTTAAATTTTATAAACTACGACATTGATGAAGTGCAACAGAATATGCATGCCCTGGGTAATAAATACAGCGGCTGCTAGTAGAGGTGGTTTCCGAATAAACTGTTATTTTACAGCGGTAACAAGCGTCGTATAGCTTGCGCACACATCCAGTGGTGCACATAGGGAGGGTTAAGGCTGTCGACTGACACCCTTCAGAGAATTGGTGAATGACTAGTTTTGTGTGAACTTTTATGAATATTTGTTTAATTTAATACTAACCAATTTTTCAGCTATCCAAATCAACATACTAATAATAGTTACCCTAGAACTAAAGTGTTATATGAGAATAAGTAGTAGGGCTCAATCCCAAAAATTATGCTATACAAACTTATAAATTAATACCCAAAAAATTGAATAATAATTAATATTAGGTTTATTTTAAAAATTTTCATTTTTAGTATCTTTGTTAGTAAAAAAAAAACCAAAAACACTTAAAAATAAGGATTATACTATGCCTAAACTCAGATTTTACTGGTGGAGGTGGATGGGTACCTCGAAATATATATTTTCGATACCCTTGTTAAAAATCCACTTTGGGCCACTGCACACATCTATCGCATGCTCTGTAATTAAATGTTACAAAGTATAACAGAATTAAATTACATTAAGTTCTTTTAAAATATGTAATATATTATTGATTAAAAAATAATTTTTGTATTTTAATTAATAACGTTTTTATTCCTAAGCATGCTGCTAACCGGGGCATGCTGATCATG